ACATTGTTTCAGTTATTCATTTTGAATTTCGTTGATCTTTATATAGTCTTCATGTATTCTTATGTCCAGGGCTTCAGAAAAGTTGATCCAGATCGATGGGAATTTGCAAATGAGGGATTTTTAAGAGGCCAAAAACAACTACTGAAGAGTATTGTTAGGAAAAAGCCTTCTCATGTGCAGCAGAATCAGCAACAAACTCAAGTTAAGAACTCATCTGTTGGTGCTTGTGTCGAGGTAGGGAAGTTTGGAATAGAAGAAGAAGTGGAAAGACTTAAGCGGGATAAGAATGTTCTTATGCAAGAACTCGTCAGGTTAAGGCAGCAACAACAAACTACCGAACACCAACTACAAGATGTGGGACAGAAAGTTCAGGTGATGGAGCAAAGGCAACAACAAATGATGTCGTTTCTAGCAAAGGCTGTTCAAAGCCCAGCTTTCTTAAACCAGCTAGTACAACAGAATAATGACAGCAACAGACATATTCCGGGAAACAACAAAAAGAGGAGACTTCCTGGAGATGAACAAGAGAATTGTGGAGATTATCAGGCTAATGGTCTTAATCGCCAGATTATTAAATATCAGCCATCGATAAACGAAGCAGCTCAAAATATGCTTAGACAATTCTTAAATACTAGTAGCTCACCTCAGTATGAATCGGTCTCAAACAATCCTGGTGGCTTCCTGTTGGGTGATGTTCCAAGTTCTAACTCTGTAGGCAATGAAAACTCCTCAAATAGAGCTTCTGAAGTAATGTTGGCGGAGGTTTCACCTAACTCAGCTCACTCAGCAATGAATCAATTACCCGAAGCAAGTTTGGCTCATCATCCTCAAGCTGGTCTGGTTCAGCCAAACTTAGGTCCAAGTCCAACCCAAGGACTAGCAGCTGCAACTTCTTGGAGCCCTGAATCTGATTTAGTTAAATGCGAGACAGGTAATGGAGAGTGTTTCGATCCAATAATGGCTGCTTTGGATGGGTCGTTGGAAATTGAAGGCGGAGCAATTTCTCCTGAAGGGGATAGCCAGATGAACGAGTTACTGGATGAGGTACCTAAACTGCCAGGAATCCAAGATCCATTCTGGGAACAGTTCTTTGATGATGAAATTGATGATGAAAGCACATCGATTGGAGCTATGGATGAGATTTTATCAGGATCAGTGGAGAATAATGACATGGTAATGGAACAAGAACCGAACGAGTGGACCAGGAATCAACAACTGAATTATCTTACTGAACAAATAGGACTTCTTTCTTCAGAAACTCAGAAGAAATGAAGGTACAAACATCGATGAAACTAAAAAAAAAAAACATTTTTCTTTGCGGTGTTGTTTAGTCTTTAGAGTTATCATTTGTTCCTCAGATTTGATTTTCATGGGAGCTTGTGAACAGAATGGGATATGAACAAAGGAGGAGGAATATATCAGTTACCAGACTCTGTAATTCATTCCCTTTACATTTTGACTTGGAGATGCACAAAACTTTAAAAGTAGAGAAGGTAATAGATTTACTACAAAGCTTGTGAATAATCTTTACGTAGAGATTGCTCTTTGTGTTGTTTCTATTTTATATTACTTGAAAACAACGAATGAGCATAATCCATGGTCTCTGATCAATCCAATCCGTAAAAGAACCTTTTTTGGTCATAAGTTTTTCAAAGATATTCTTATATTTTACGCATGAAGATCTTATACCTTCTTATATTTTACGCATGAAGATCCTTGTGATGGATTAGTACATAAAACAATCACGATATGAGGAGTCAAGATTCGATTGAATGGGAAGGACATGTAGTATAAAGAATCTGTACAATAGATATATTTCTATAAAGGGTCTTTAATCCTC